ATCTCTGAACCTCTCACCAACAATAAGAAGTCACACGGTCCCATTTGCAGTATCTGAAATCACTTCGTCCATTCAGATATCTCCTCTAGGGAACACATCACCTTTCCACTTCACCTCGAGCTGATTGCCTCTTTATATCTCTGAGTAATTCTTTCGCCCTCTGGCTTCCAGCTGCTGCCATTCTCATCGGTCCTCTCAAATCGTTTGCTCCTGGACTGACTCCTGCGCTGCTCGTTCCAGCGCTCCTGGTGGTGGACTGCCGATCTTGACCACTGCGCCCGTTGCCACTAACGCTTGGATATGTGCAGGCGCAGCTCTGCGATCGTCACCTGTGGGCTCTGGCTTGCGTCCGGTCCTTGTAGCGCTGCATAACCGTGGCCGTCATGTACGGGTTGATAGCGATGGGGTTGAGCATGAGGTGCAGTTTCGCCTGATCCGCCTTCCCTGCTCCGTCGTTGAATGTCTTCTTGATTCGGAAGTAGCACACCAGGTCGTTCATCTCCTCCCTGTCCAACACGGTGACCAGCTTCACGAACCAACCGGAGATCTGCTGCGTATCGTCTGGCAAGGCCTGCATCTTCGCGAACTTGTGAGTAATACACCCGAATATGTGCAGGTGTGGGGGTCCGAGATCTTTCTTGCCCTCCTCGGTGCCCAATCGATGGTATTCTTGTCCCATGCGCAGTCCTTCTGCTACCACGGGGTGCACCAGCGACAAGATCATGCAGTCCCATATGGCGCCCATGAGTATCCGCAGCGTCTGGGTGTTGTTGAGCGTGAGCTTCGGCAGTGTGAGAACTTTCTCCTGCATAGTCACATCCACATCGACGTCTGAGCCAGCTCCATCCCCCTTGCCTCGCTGGCGTTTGAGGCGGCGCCCTCTGCCTTTGCCTGCACCTTGGGCCGCTGGCTCTGCTGCTCCTGCCGCCAGGGGTGGGAGTCCGGTCGTCCACGCCGCCATACGAAGGGCCTGGCGCGTGTTGCTTCACGTGCTCGAAGTGTGTACCAATGTCTGGCGTGCTGAAGTCGCACAGTGTGCACGTATATGCAGTCGCTTTGGTAGGCGCAAAGTCGAACCAAATGGTTCTGGAGACTACATGGGCCTCCATGGTGGGAATTTCATGCGATGCGACATGGCGTTCGACGGTGCTGAGTTGCAGCATGAAGCCGGGTCTGAGAAGGGGCTGCCTTCCATGCGTACGGCTGGTTCACGCGGAGACCAACACATGCACGGCGCAAGACTCAAGGCGCGATTCTGACAACGAGCCGTCCTCCACCCGCGCAGTTGCTGGCATTGCCAGGCCCTGTTGCCATACAGCGACAAAAAGGGGTCGCAGGCCAGAGATCCGCTCCCGTAGTTGCTAGGACATTCAACTTCGGGATCGTGGAAGCGTAAGGAGGCCTCGCGCGACAGCCCCACATTTGAGGAACGCCCCTCCCACGGTGCAAATCTTGGGCATTGTGGCATCGAGAATATCCAAATTTTGAAGGCGTTCGAAATGAAACGCGATCTTCAGAAAGAGCCACCGTAGTCCTTGGAACTTTTCGACAGTCGAAGCTGGTAGCCCCCTCCTTCATAGTGCACAGCAGGGACGTGCAAGCGGAGAGGAGAGAGGGAACGGACGTGCAGGAGGAGAGAGACACATCGCCCTGTTTCGAATTCGGCTTAGCGCAAGCTGTACTGCGGCAACCCATTGTTACCCCTGCCGCCACGCGCAGAGGGTGACCGCCAACACGCAGCAACTGCGAAATCCCCCGAGGTGGAATAACGCCCGTTGGCCGCACATTGGCGTCCTCGTTTAACTCTCCCTCCCTCCCTCCCTCCCTCCCTCCCCTCCACCCTCCCTCCCTCCCTCCCTCTCCCTCCTCCCTCCTGCTTCCTCCCTCCTCTCTTTTCCCTCCTCCTCCTCCTCCTCCTCCTCCTCCTCCTCCTCCGACTCCTCGCTCCCTCCCTCCTCCCTCCCTCCCTCCTCCCTCCCTCCTCCCTTCTCTCCCTCCCTGCTCTCCTCTCTCCTCTCCTCCTCCTCTCGTCCTCGTCCTCGTCCTCTCTCCTCCTCCTCCTCGCCCTCCTCCTCCTCCTCCTCCTCCTCTCCTCTCCTCCTCTCCTCCTCCTCCTCCCTCCTCCCCTCCTCTCCTCCTCCTCCTCCTCTCCTCCTCCTCCTCCTCCTCTCCTCCTCCTCTCCTCCTCCTCCCCCCTTGTCTTTCTCCTCCGCCTGCTGCGCTGCTGCTGCTGCTCTTCCTCCTCCTCCTCTTCTTCGTCCTCGTCCTCCTCTTCCTCCTCCTCCTCTCCTCCCTCCTCCTCCTCTTCTCCTGCTGTCCTCCCTCCTCCTCCCCTCCTCTCCTCTCCTCTTCTCCTCCCTCCTCTTTTTTTTGTGGTTTTTCCTTCTCCTTCTCCTCCATCTCTCTTCTTCCTCCTCCTCCTCCTGCCCCCTCCTCCCTCCACCCTCCTCCCTCCTTCCTCCTCCTTCTCCTCCTCCTCCGCCTCCTTGCCACAAGGCCCCTCAACACCGATCGACCGGTGTCACCTGCGGGAAGCGGCCACCTTTGCCTCCGCCACCTGCCGCACAAGTTCCGATGGCATCCCAAGAGGACCGAAGTGCAAGAAACTTTTCCGGTCACTTAATGACCGAGCTATGTTTGCCCCACCCGTGGGAAGGACAAACCGTGCCCCCCTGGGAACGCACATTGGTGCTTGAATGCGGTTCGGTGGCGTTCTGTCGGCACCAATGTTGACACAACATGGGGCTCACATGTAAACACACTGCTGACTCATATCATTTTTGGTTCTATCATTCGTCGTCTCCTTATGCTGGCACGTCTGCCCCACATGCGTTGACCCTCTGGTCACGGTGCTGTGAGGCAGAGATGGCTGTCATAGGATATGCGCTACGCGCATATCACCCACCAATACCAGGTGCCAGCATTGATCCTTGCCAGAAGCTTTGGGTCGGTCGGTCGGTCGGTCTGCGTGCCAGCCCGGTGGCCGGGCTGGTCCCCTTAAGGGCAGACGGGACAGTGCATCGAAAGGCACGCGTACGGTGAAACAACATGAGCCAATAATGAGAAACAGAGGAGCGCACCAAGACGTCACTCATAACATACGTTGCACAGTGGTGTGGCCCAACGCCACTCAGAAGACGACGAACATTGATGGGCGTACATTTCACCAACTCAAGCGTTACTTGCAGAAAGAATCGCTCCATCTCAACGACGGCCTGCCAACTGATCTCCTGGGGTCGCACCGGAACCATGGCATCCAAACGAGAAGTCTTTTGCTCCACTTGTTCTCGTCGTCGAGGTGTATGCGCGCTGCGTGCGCAGATGGCTTGTAGCTCCACCCAACTCTTGATGCCGAATCTGTTGCAATATTCCTGCGCCCAGCTTGTTGCACGCTTGACGTATTCAACCCACGTTTCCGTAGCACCCCGCGCAGGGCGGAACATGTTTCGAAGCTTTTTTCTCCAGGTGACCTTAAATCTGTTCGACGCCGCCTCGTCCGTGGTCCAACATTCACAGCCATACAAAGCAGCTGACGTCACCGCGCTGTTGAACAAACGCATGCGTTGACTCAGGGGGTATGTATATGAACAAATGATACCGGAGAAAAGCCCCAATCATAATCTTTTTAGGGCTGTAGGGCTATAGGGCTACATGGGCTATAGGGTAGTAGAGCTACAGGGCTATAGGGCTATAAGGTATAGGGGCATAGGGCTATAGAACTATAGGGCTATACGGCTATAGGGCTATAGGGCTATTAAGCTATAGGGTTATAGGGCTATAGAGCTATAGAGCTGTAGGGCTATAGGGCTACAAAGCTATTGGGCTATAGGGCACCCCCGGGCACCCGGGCACCCCCGGGCACCCGGGCACCCCCAGGCACCCGGGCGTGCGGCGAAAATCGGCGGCAAACCTAACCTAACCATATGAATCCGCTAGGACCCCTACAGAGGCAAGTTCTGATTGGGGAAATACCCTCTTGAACTTATTGAACGCCTTCCATGCCACAGCTAAGCGGTTCGCAAATTCAATTTCGTGAAAAACCATAATATTAAGTTGTCTCCCCAAATATCTCTCCGAACGCTCGTTGCTCATGATCTCGACGTCTTCGCCGCAGACACACACAGACGACGTAACATTAGTTAACGAATTCGTTCATATCCTGGTCTTGCCCAAATGGACGGCCAAACCATATTTGAACGATTCCTTCCGCAAATCTGTCAACATCTTCACTGCGTCAGCTCGGCATTGACCGAACAAGAGAACATCATCTGCAAACCTGAGGTTGGTGAGTGGATCGGTAACATCATCTACCACGAATCCGTAATATTGTCCTACCCTGCGGTGGTTCAGTCCATTCCATCGCTTTTTCACATTTCGAAAGCAAGCCTCCATGACAGCAACCAACAATGGGGCAGATACTGGGCCACCTTGTTTTACTCCTCTAGAAATGTCGAATATCCTGGGATATATTCTCGTTGTCTTAAGCGCAGTCTGGCCTTGATACAACCGTTGTAATCGTAAATATAATTACGCCCAATTCCCAAATCTCGGAGGACCTCCCAAAGCGCAGCGTGCTCAATCGTGTCAAAAGCTTTTTCGTAATCAACTAGACATATCCAAAGCTGCTGGTTCCATTCGTCGCAACCCTTTGTAAGCAGTGTGAGCGCGAGCAGATGGTCCACGTGGAATAACCAGTCCGATCTGCAGCTTGATCTGGAGACTGTTGTGATAGAGTGGCTGGCTGCAGTCTGTCACGAAGCATGCGGGCGAACAACTTCTATAGGATTGGCAAGATCGCGATCGGCCGATAATTCCATACGAGAAGAGGGTCTCCTTTAAAACAAGTGTCTTCTTCCACGTCCCCGGAACTTCGGCCGAAAGGTCCAAAATATCATTGAACAAATCCAAAAGCCTTGTTTCCGGAATCTTCCCGTGGACGATTTCAACATTTCAACAACTATTCCGACTCATCCTTGCACCTTCCGCCCTTCATCACTTTCAGCGCCCTGTTCAAATCGTCCATCGCGAACTTCGCAATGTCATCGCAAGCTGTCTCAAAATTGCTGTCGTCGCTGCCGCGCCTTCTGTACAATTCCTCGTAGAATCGAGCGACAACCTCTGCGATGTCGCTCTTCTTGACATGCTCGAAGCCCGAATCATTTTTCACAAGGGAAATCTGAGATTTCTCCCTCGCGGTTTTCTAACCCAGGAATGCCAGAGACACTTCGGAAATCAGCCAGAGCCCTTCGGATGATTGCTTCCCGTTCGCTTTTTATTTCCTCCTTCATCACTCTTCCACGCCGCCCTCGGCGAGCTTCACCGCGCACGAGGCGCCGCCCGGGCCGCCGGCGATGACGGCCACGCGCAGCTTGCGGCCTTCGGGGGGCTTCGCGCCGGCGCAGACCACCACGCGCGCGCCCCGCAGGGTGCGCTCCAAGCTCTGGGACCGGAAGGTATGCAACCCCAACCTTCACATCGAGCACCTACTTCAAGGGAGAGCCCAAACGCCGCATCCGATTCAGAGGGTTATGCCTACCATTAAGAGCATCAGCGCTACACTGCAATCCTCCTCTTCTTCCTCCTCCTCCTCCTCCTCTTCTTCCTCCTCCTCCTCTTCCTCCTCCTCCTCCTCCTCCTCTCCTCCTCCTCCTCCTCCTCCTCCTCCTCCTCCTTCCTCCCTCCTCCTCCCTCCTCCCTCCTCTCCTCCTCCCCTCCTCCTCCTCCTCCTCCTCCTCCTCTCCTCCTCCCCCTCCTCCCCCTCCTGAACCCTCCTCCCGCTTCTCCTCCTCCTCCTCCTCCTCCTCCTCCTCCTCCTTCTCTTCCGCCTCCTCCGTGTCGTCCTCGTCCTCGTCCTCCTCGTCGTCGTCCTCCTCTCCTCCTCCTCCTCCTCCTCCTCCTCCTCCTCCTCCTCCTCCCCGTCCTCCTGTCCCCCTTCCTCCCCGACCCCTATTCCTGCCTCTCCCGTCTGGGTCCCGCAAGCGGGGGGGGCCGAATCCGCCGCAACAGGCGCCGGCGGCTGCTGCCTCGGCGGCGTGCTGTGGAGGCTGCAACGGTCTTCTTCTTCGTCGTCGTCGTCGTCGTCGTCGTCGTCGTCGTCGTCGCACTCAGGGTCGTCGTAACCGTCGTCGCAGTCGGGGTCGTCGTCGCCGCCGCCGTCATCGTCGCCGTCAGAAGAGGAGGGATGATAAACAGCATATGAATCGGGATAATGAAAGGGAATGGGAGCTCTTCCTTCTTCCAGCCTTTCCCTCTGAGCTACCCCTCCCCGTCCCTCACACACAAAAGATGATTGAGGGGGGGGGGAGGACGAATAGGAACGACCAGCGAGAGGTGCGACCTAATGAAAAGGCAAGGGAGAGAGGCAGGAAACCCTGCCAGCACATGGTGTACGGTACCAGATGGTTACTCGTCCTCGAAGGGGGAGGGGGGGGGCGTCCCGACCCTTGCGGGCCCGAAGCCGAATGTGGTTTTCCGCCCAGGCTCCGAGCTCCACTGCCTCCCCCAAGAAAAACCGAATGAACCGCCCCCTCTAGAGGTCTGGCGGTGGTCCTGCTCCCATGGGGTGGTCGGGGGCGGCCGAGACAGGGGCGCCACCCAAGGGCCTCCCAGCGGAACCTTCACACAACCCCGAGGCCCCACCCCATTCCCGCGGCATCCCCAGAACCATGCATGCTGGGAGGCACCATGGGGAGGGGGCCATCCAAGCCCATCTTAGGAGGTAGGTTGGCACGGACATTGTCTGATATCACAATGGCCCGAGACAAACCTAGATTCCTCTTACTGGGGTGTCGACCCTGCGAAATCCAAGTCAACTGACGTTCGCGCCCCGCGGACCGATGCCCCGAGCCATCTGACGCGAGAGCAGACTTGCCGACGCTGCCCCCGATCGTGCGCACGGTTCCGCAGCTAGTGCAGAAAGCAATCGGGCCAAGGGACACTCCTGCACTGTCAGTGGCGGCGGATTCTATGATCGCAGTGCCTAGAGCGGGCCATCTAGTGAGCTCTGGCCACTCGTCCCTCGAGGGGCCTTCGGCCTCTCCCGAGCCGTGGCCTGTCTCGCGCGCCTCCCCCCGCCCCGCCCGCTCCCCCGCGCCTAGAGGAAGAGCGAGGAGGAGGGGGGGGGAAGATTGGCGGCTGGCGACGGCGGCAGCAGCGGGCCGCGTCTCCTCGGGCGCGCGCACGCCCGAGGGGTTCCGGGCGGGACCTGCCTCGGGCTCGGGAGGGAGAGCGGGGACAAGGAAGGACGCCGTCGACATCCAGGCGAGATCAAGGTGGTCAGCCCTGATCTGCTCGCACAGCTCGTCGTCCATCGCAGCGGAGACAATGCATATTCTTCGAGCCAGCTCTCTACATCCGGCGAGGCACAGCCTCGCCTCCTCCTCCACTCGAAAGGGTTGGCCAGCCTCCTTGGTCAGCAGATCGGCCACTTCACTGCCTCGGCGCTGCTGGTAGGTGATCAGCCCGTCCATGAGCTGAGCGTGGGGTGGTGTGAGACTTGACTTTCATTGGCGTGAACCCCTCCAGGCGGTCTCCGACCTCGGCCTACTGATGGGCCCGGACGTTCCTGGGGCCCTGGGCACTGGACAGATCTTTGAGACAGCCTAGGATGCCAGCGCAATCGATGGAGATCGTCGGGGGGGGGCAGCTGTCATCGCGCACCTTGATAACATGAGAATGGCATAGTCCTCGCCGTCCCGAGCTATTTGCTCGGGAGCTTAACTCAAGGGGACACTGCCTTGAAGAAAAGCGCTCCCTATTCATGTCGCTGAAGTTCACAACCCATGATGCACTGCGGACGCTGCTGTGATTGCCTTCAAAACACGCACCAACGGAACGCAGGACGGAACCCTGGGGAAAATTATCAGGGGCCCACTCTGCGGCAAACTGTAGAACCGAACAATCGTAGAATCAAGATCACGCGGGCGGCGCAGGAACCAACGCGAGGGGTCGGGGAAGACGCACCGAGCGAACAACTCACACACATCACCCCCCAGCATTTTGATCTTCTGCGCCGCCCTGCGGATGACATCGTCGACCCTGTCTCGACGCCAGGCCTCGTAGGCTGGGCATTCGACCAGGGGATGATACAAGGTGCCTGCTGTACCTTCGCAAGCTCTGCGCATGTTGGTGAGCTCCGAGCATTTCCTAGACATCCGAGGCTGGGTCCAAAGAACATTGCCCACAAGGGCCACGACACAGGCTTTGTGATGAGAGGTCCAGGTGTCCGAGGGCTTCCTGGCGGCGACGATGTGCACCACCTCCCAGAAAGCATGCCCAGAGCAGGCCTTGAACGAACCCTGAAGCTTTTGCTCCTCTCGTTCCACGCCACGGCGAACGGAGGAGCTCAACAGAAACTCGAAAAATGCTGGGGGAACAATTAACAAAGTTCCAGTGACGACTGAGATCATCCGTTGGGGATTCACGAATCGAAATCCAGCTCCCAGCCAATCCTTCTGAGCATCAACGCCAGGGCCGCCAGAGGCTGACGCACCGGCAACCACGGGTTCGGGTGGCACTGTACTTCGGTGGCATCGCGAATGCACGACATCAGAGCAGCTTTCGAGACAGTGCGGGCCCAGACGATGCCAACAAATTCTTTGACCACAGCGGTGGTCACCAATAAGGGAGGGTCAGATACCAGAAACGATGTGACGAACGAGCGCGAAGTGGACCCCAGGACTTGGCCGTCTTGATGCGAAGCTGGTGCAGCTGTTTCGGGGCCATGCCTATAACATGCGCCCCCAAGAGGCCTTGGCGAGGGGTCCAGCTCTGAACACTTTGGAAAAGGCAGGTCCTCGGCCCATGTTGGCCAGCTTGCTGCCAGCCTCCAGACCAGCGGCTACTCTACTAGTCTGAGTGCCAACGCGCCTGCTGGAACCCGAATCAGCGCGGAGGAATAGGAGGAAGCGGATGAGAAGGGGGAGGAGGGGAACGAGGTGGAGGAGGAGGAGGAGGAGGGTGGGAATTTGTGAAACCTTTGGTATGATTCATATTACACTTATTATCACTGCTACTATTACTCTGATTCGTATTATCAATAATGCCATTATTGCTAGTATTTTTACAGCTATTGTTGTTACTGCTGTTTTTATTAGTAATAATATTCTCACCATTATTCTCACTACCGTCATCATTATTATTACTGTCGGTGTTGAGATGCTTGTTCTTATGATTATAATTGTTGTTATTATTGTTATGATGGTGCTGATGCTGCTGCTGATGCTGCTGCTGCTGATGATGGTGATGATGCTGGTGCTGATGATGCTGCTGATGATGATGGTGATGATGTTCGACCGTACCTGGGGGGCAACAGTCTGGCCGCACGCTTAGTTGTCAGTGGCGTGCACGGCAACTCCTACGGCGGCTAATTGCTCAGAAAAGGGTTCGCAGAGGTTCCGTGAACCAGCGTCGCCTTGAGCTCGTGACAGGTGTGAAAACAAAACACACCGAGGCGCATGGCGGCACTGCGGGAGAGTGCACACGCTTCACAGTTGTATTCGTTGTCGGCGCCAAGGCCGAGGTGATAAAAAATGTGAGGAAGGCAGGGCAATGAACTCACCGAGGACAGGGCAGGAGAGGTAGTGGGAGATAGCGTCAAGCTGCTCACTGCAACCAAAAATTCAAAATGTCACTCCGTTGACATGCATGCGATGCGATGTTGTCCACCCTC